CCTCCAGCGTCGGCAAAGGTACATCAAAATCCTCCATTCGAATCCGCAATGGACGGCTCATGTAAAGTGAGATTACTCGGTCTCGCATGAAACAGCACCACCATAGACGTTTTCGAAGACTTTTCTTCTTCTGTGGGAGTGGCAAAAACTCAGGGTCCTGGTTCAGTCCCGCTGTTTGGGCAAGGGAGATTGCGATGTTGACCCAATGCCAGGTTTGTTTGTGAGCATCTTGTGTTTGCCTGTCAGACCAAAAACTCATGAGCAACACAGATTGAATGATAGTAATACTGTCGCATTCAAAGTCGACATCGTATAGAAGCTATATGCATGAGCTGTGAGCTAGACATCGAGTACGAAAGGGTCAATGGGGATATACTTTGCTTTTTTCGAAAAAAGCCTTTCGGGCAGTCTTCAAGTTGTCGTATCCCGCCTCCCTGACCAAGCTTTCGTCGACAAACGGGACCGCGGCAAACATGACGCTGTGAAACAGCAACAGGCTGAGTTGAGGCCCAGAATGGTGGCTCTGGCTTCCATCTACCGCAACGAGGAGCTCTGAAGGATCGAGCAAAGGCAAATAAGGATGAATATATTCAAAGTAACATCGAATAGTCTCATTTCGAAGTGGTTTATGAGGTATATTCAGGGTACCTTTGCTTCGGAGATATGATATATCTGCGTCCGTGAAGTGCTTGGGAAAGGACTGAAAATATGCTGGCAGTTCTCTTGAAGGGATGTCTTCTGGAGGTTGATTCAATGGAGTGGGTAATATCTGAAGCCTATCCAGATTCGGTGGTACGTCCCCTAACGAAGTCATTGAATTCAAGACGGCCATGGCATCGGTAGATATGTTAGTGGGGAGTAGCATGCCATTTCGGACGTTACCACCATGGACGATACAGAACGAGAGATTCTCCTGTTCCGGACTGTAGTTGAAGGACCCCTTAATCGCATGGTCATGGAAAGGTCTGCCTAGTCCCATATACCATTCTTTGTGCTTCCTGGAAGGATGCTTAGCATGGTATGTGCCTTCAATTAGTTACTCACCTTCCACGACGGCACTGAGCCATGAGACAAGGTGTCTCGTCAAGTTCACAATTGCGGCATGGAGAGCCACGAGTGGTGACATCGCATCGGACCTTGCGCGCACGACAATTCTCACAAGCTTTTCCTGCTCGACGTTGGCGAACAGGCTTGAGGTGCCCCGCGACGTTTAACGCTCTCTGCGCAGGTGGAGTCATCGGAGAGAACAAAAGCAGATATCTTGTTTTCCTTTTTTTTCTTAGATCTCTATAGGTTTCAGGGACGCTGCAACGTACAAAGAAGGAATTTGGGAACCAAGGGGCGAAGAGACAAAGTTGAGGATGGTGGACAGGCGTTCTCCGTATGCGGTTCCACTTCACTACAAGGTGTTGGCAATGCAGGAACCTCACAAGTATGAACTTAATTCGTCCCAGTTGGTTCCGCCTCCGCATTCTCCATCTTTTGAGTTTTTGTATAGCCGATAACCGAAAGGGCGGCCCTGAGGTACGAAACCATCCTCGAACGGATATAGTCCGCACCAAATAGCTGTCCAGCCAAGCCAGCCTTGCCAAATTGAGAATCGCGATGAAGGTTGTATTGAACAAGGGCTATGGGCCTCCTAGACTATATATCTCGTGCTGGGAGGCAAGTCGGGTCTCGACAGTGGTGGCATCAATCTCGCACACGCCATGGCAGACTTTTCGCATTATGGAGGCGTATCGCCGGATTGGGAACGAGTTATAGCTTCGATACCTCCAGAGCAGCTTGCGGGTGCAATACCTGTTGCGGTGACTCTCGATGAGCCGTTCCTGCTCAAGTTACAGGAAAAGACAAATCGTGAAAGGGCCACTCGTGCGCGAAGTGCTTTGAACGATCTGGGTAAGTTGCTGCGCCCTTTGTCGGATCACGCTTCCAAATTGACTTCATTGCCATTATCAAGAGACGGTTGCAGTGAATGATTACACCTGCTCCACAATTGACAATGGAAGTGTGCCAATCCGGGTCTATCGACCTGCCTTGAATCAGAAGAACAGGGAATTGCCTGTTTATATCTGGTTCCACGGAGGTGGCTTTCTCTTTGGCTCACTCGACGGAGAGGACGCCCACTGTACTCAGATTGTACTTGACCACGCTGTTATTGTTGTCAACATCTGTTACAGACATACTCCACGGTGGAAATGGCCCATTCAGCATCACGATGCAATGAGGGCCGTCGACTGGATCTTTGAAAACATGCCAATGCTTGGTGGAGAAGCGACCAAGGTTATTGTTGCGGGCCGATCCGCTGGTGCTCTTGTGGCCGCTAGCACGGTGCTTGGTGACTTGACGGCTGTAAGTCCTGTTGCATTGCACCAACGGTGAGAATTTACGCCTAACACGACCGAGTAGCACGGAAGGTCCAGATTCTGTGGACAAATCCTTGACATCCCCTGGCTGTGCCACTCAGCTGCTTTCCCCTACGAACTGATTGTCAAAGGGAAAGACTCGTATTCTGAAAACCTCACCGCGCCAATCCTGCCAAAGGGCCTTCTTCACCTGTTTGAGACGCTGATAGCTCCGGACCCGTTGGATTCGACATTCAGTGTCCTTCTCGCTGGTGAGAAAGAAGTCAGAGGCTTGGCACCCACCCATTTTCATGTCGCAGGGCGAGACATCCTGAGGGATCAAGGCATTCTTTTTCAGCAAAAATTACAGCAGTGCGGGTAGGGGAGGCCCAGGAACTTTGAAAGATCTGCACTAACTGCTTGACTTCAGGGTTTCAACAACAATCAATATATACCCTGGAGTGCCGCACGGGTTCATGTACTTCACTGATCTGGAAGCAAGCCAGCAGTGGGCCAGAGACCATGGCGAGGCTGTACATCGGCTGCTCAATAAGCAAAACGGGCGGCCATAGAGCGCAGCATTGGGAGTGAGGACCTGTCGCTCTTCTCAGTGCCTGATTCACACACAAAGCCAAAGCCGGTCGCTCTCTTGTAGTATTTGAAATGTCAAATTCCGAGGGATGATGCCTTCGATTCACACTCCCATTCTAGTCGGAACATGTGATATGAGGATAATAGTTGATGTATACCCGGTATAAGGTGTTCTGTGGCTTGGAACAAGCTGCGATCAGGATACATTTGGCGAGCCATCTGTTGAACCAATTTGAGAGCGAGTCAGAAATAGCTTGACTGGGAAATTCGGGCGAGCCAACATGAAAAATAATGAACGCAGTGCTAAGACCAATCTGTACTAACCTATTTGGGCTAATTTCTAGCGGCCAATGAAAAAAGACCACACCATGTCCGGTACCTAGTTCTGCGTTAAACACGAAGCTAGCTTGCAATGGCACGGGCAAAAGGCAAAATACATTTGAAAAAAAAAAAAAAGAAAAAAGGACTGTTTGGAGAAGCTGGGAATCGAACTGCAATTCCATAATTAGTCATTGAACCACCTCTTGGGAAGTCTCGGAGGAATCTTACCCCAGAACCTTTTCCATGCTCAGAAAGCATGCTAAGGAAACGTCATACCACTAGACCACTTCGTGTTTGTTAGAATAAGACCTGGATGCCTGGACAGTTGTGTAACTCACCATCCCCTGAACTCGTAATTGTTGACAAAATTTTTGGGAAAAAATTATTGAAGTTGCAGATTTAGCCCGCTCCGCTCCAGGCACCATTGGTGAAAATCCGTAAGGCAGAGTACAAAGTAACTTAGCCGAGACATACTCCGTCCTTGGAGACAGCAGGATCACCTCCTACACCTCGATACTTACACTGGTTTGTCACCACATCTTCACATGGCGACCAAGGCCCTCACCCCGGTGTTCTCGACTCACTTCGGCGTAGGTACACCTCTTCGTGGTGCCGGGGACAAGTAGCTAGGCGACTGGTGAAATCAACGTCCCCTTTCTCAACTCCGAACCCTCAGTTTGTTCTGCTTCCCATGTGATTCCCACAAGATGTTTGACATGTCAAAGGCGTGTCAAGCATTCTCCCTAGAGCGGGCTGGCCTTCGAGCCTGGCAATAAACCCAACTCGATTATTTTATTCTCGATCAGCGTTTTAAAGCCATCGTCAACACTACACAATCCTCTACCAAAACCGTCTTTCCCGATTATTCCTACCGGCTGTGTGATACCCCTCTGGCGTGTCAGGAACCTTCCGCAGTGTGACCAGGCCTTTAAGCCAGCATTAAACAGAGCAAAACTTACTATGCTAGCCATCATTAAACAGACATTCACTTTTAACACATCAAGGCACTCTCACTTCAACCTCACTTCAACCTTGAAGCGCAACTCACTGAGAAACTTGTTGAGAAGTCACTTTCCATTCTCTTAGTTAGCGTATGCCTAGCTCCTCCTCTCCTTGATCGCGACAATACTGCTGAAACACTATAGCGAGCTGTAAGGACAGATCCAGTGTACCATACCCCGACATTCACTGCGAAACCCTCCAGGTTCGAGCACGCGACTGTCATCTCTCCATCATGCCACGATAGCCAAAGAATCACCGCGCTTGCAGTCGACAAAGTGTGTCCCTTACCTCACTTTCCTCGCAATCGCCGCTAGTGGCCAGACACGTTGGTAAACCAATTCACGGCGCTGAATTCTTCTGGTGTCGATGCACCAATCATATTGACTTGAACTGGCCCTCATCCCGTTGTCAGGTATCGAGGTAACAAGGTCCCCAGTCTCTTTAAGAGCGTTGCAAGAGTCTCGAAGAAAATTCAGCGCGGGCGAACCTCTGGCCAAGATTCTCCTGTTCTAGTGTCCTGTGGTGATTTCATCATCTCTTTGGCCTCGAGAACCCCACTCTTCCAAGGAGATCCCTTTATTTAGGCAAATACTCAAACTCCATTGCTCTTCAGACTCTCCAGAAATTGTTGTCACCAACCCCGACCAGGTAACTCGACTTCAATTTTGGACGATCGACTCGCTAAAGACATCATCGATTATAATCGACAAACATATAAAATTACCGAACCCTTCGTGTTTTATGACGTACCAGACGCCACAGAAAGAAGAAATTACCAGCGGCGAAGATTTTGCAAGAAGTACGCCATATTGGTACTCAAAATCTTGCAAAGCCTTCTCGACGCGGATTTCGGCACTCCCTAAAAAGCCATGCTCGATCGAGATCTTGACACCGTATATAGAACAGAAGCGACCCCCCAAGTTGCCAAAAGCACAAATGGAGAAAGACTATCCGGCTGCTACGGACGTTGCCTTGCAGGCCGTCGACAGTGTGCAGGGTCTGGAGTATGATCTGGTCATTGTGGATCCTACCGTGGTGCGCCGCACCGGGTTTCTTGACGCGAACCGACTCAACATGATGTTCTCCCGTCCAGATACGGCATGTATGCGGTCGGCGATTACAACGCGTGGATTGGATGTGGTGAGAAGATTTCGTGTGCCTTGAGGCAATTCGCTCAGGATTCAAGCGAGACTATCGGACGACATGGGCAGGCGAAAGTAATGAAATCTTGTCCTCACCGTTCTTTGAAGAGGATATTATTCAAACCCATGACTCGGACTAGTTCCATAGTTTGATCATTTGGAAGAATGCAATGATTGATGTACCGGACTTGGCTTCGAGTCACTCGATATGTGGAAATGAGGCAGCATGAAGGACATGAAACTGAAGACGCTGTTTCGGGGTACCTGGCTACGAGGGCAGGTTTGTATCAAACCCAACAGGTGGATTTCGGATATTGAGGTCAAGGCCTTGGTCGAACCAGGCCAATAATGAGAAGCTTAGGTACCCTCGGATAAGCTCAACTTGGATTAGTCTGTCACAGAGCTGAAAATTCTCCTTGCAGAATGTATGGCAAGAGTTGTTGTACTATTCAGCCCCTTGCACGCATCGCAAAAAAGGCTGTCAACCGGTCATGGCGGAGACTCCATCAAGTTCACCATTTTTTCACCACTTACCCAACGACAGGCAATCAGCCATTCATCAGAAGACCGCAGTATCTCAATGCCAGGAGTCAAAGTGTCGTTGCAAGGCTCGCGTCTCCTGCCACTTGGGATGTTGAGAACGAGTAACAGGAGTATATGCTTTTCGACCGGTTAGTATTTGGCTTTTCAAATTTTGTCGAGGAGTTCCCGGAGAATGATGGAGGAGATGGGTTGGAAGAACTACATTAAAGGGATGGTGTAGCCCTCAGCCTCGTCTCCAGTGCAGCCTTGCACGTGGTTCGGAATACTTCGAGGTGTGATAGTGACAGCAACATTCTGTCAGACATTTCATTTTCCTCTTGGGCTGACTCGCCATGCTGGACGCCTAAATTTCGGTTTCGGAGCGTTGTTGTCTTTCAATCTTGCAACCAATTGCTCCTTCACTCATCGGAGCAAAGCAATCAAACCAGACGCATCGTTTTACACACACTTGGAGCATTCGAACGCTTGGATCGTGCTTGCAAATGGCGCATCTGACTTGTCCTTGAAATGGCATCCTCGAGAGCCAGTAAGCATGCAGACGTCTCGCCAGCCTAACGATGGTAAAGGCAACGGCCGTTCCGCCTGCGATCGCTGTAGGCGCCACAAGCTCCGGTGCGAGCGCTCTTCGGACTCAGCACAGTGCCGTCGGTGTTCGAAAGCCAACGTGGCATGTGTAACCGGAACGGCTCTCAAGTCAGGACGTCCACCGCAGAGGCGACAACCTTCCGATGCTCCAGAGATTTGGTCTCTACATCAGACGCCTCAAACACCCATCAATATCCCGGATACTGATCCTGGAATTGGCCGAGAAATGCAGTTGCCGCTGTCGCCGGTAAACATTGCCGGTTTCGAAAACGGTTGGCCTGGCAGCATGCAACAGGATATCGATGCACCCCAAGTATTCCAACCTCTAGTCAATACCTATCAGCCCCAATACTCGCATGTTATCCATCAGAATGACTGCCTGAAAAGGCTAGGGGACCTGCAGACGGAAATCCTTGCTGATCTAGAGCTTGCAAAGGCATGCAAAACAGCGACTGACTGCCCTCAATTGGCTCTAACTCCAGACCTGGAGTACAATTCTTCTTTCCTCGTCGGTCGAATGCTTGAGCACTCGAAGACTCTACTCGGCATCTTGGATTCTTTTGGATCAATTTCCGCGACGCCAACTTGTTTCTCGGACGCCGACTGCCTTGCTGCTGGACGGACTCCTCCTGGCAGCTTGCATTGCGACGTCCCGACAAAATTCTCTCTTTTTTCGTGCTATATCTGTCTCATCCGCATCTACCGCGCAATATTCTCCTGCATCCACGACTCGATGCCCGTTCTGTTAGGGCTGCAACAACCGCTGCCTCAGCTATTTCCGGGCATTAACTTGGCAGGTTTCTCCCTCGAGGCGCGCCTCGATCTGCAAGTCCAGATCCTCGTCCAAGTCAGTGAAGATATGCTCGCGAAACTGGAAGCTAGATTTGGTATCGGCGAGGGTGCTTCCCTCAACCAGGGAATTTTCGAGCCGACAAGAGCTGCTAAGATGCTCGCCATGATGCTGGAGGAAGAAGCCAATGAGCAGCCTCCGTTATATGAACCTCGAAGCCCTTGCGAGCCTTTGAAAATTATCCTTGCCAATTTGAAACGAATGACCAATGCTGAAACTTCAAAAAGCAAAGACTTTTGAATGATGAGCTTCGGGGGATTTACGTATCCTTCGGGTGGATCCAGGCTCCTGGCATGAGAAAAGTTCCGATCCCACTCCACGCTCGATCCGAGAGGCAATAAAAACAGATGCGAGGCCCATGCTGTCTGCTTTGAAGCCAAACATCATCCACGTCCTTCCGGAACTCCAATCATTAAAACTACCCCCATGGCAACCTCTCATCCGGAGCACCAAGGCATGTCTGCTTTGTGGTGGAGCGCGCGGGCAAGACTCCCCTCCCTTAACGCCCCAGCCTCGCGCAGCAAATGGCAACCAGGCGACTGACTGACTCTAGAATCCACCAGAGAACCCTCGCGCGTCCTTTTCAGGAAAGATTGTCCTCATCACTGGTGCCAATGCCGGTCTCGGTCTCGAAGCCGCAGCCAAGTTCGCCGCTCTCGGTGCCTCGCGTCTCATTCTCGGCGTCCGATCGATACGACGCGGGGAAGAGGCGAGAGCACACATCTGCCGACGATCTGGTTACAATGGCGCAAACATACAGCTGTATCAGCTCGACATGAGCACCTTTGAATCAGTCAAATTGTTCGCCGAGAAAGTCTGCGCGAACGAGTCTCGACTCGACGTTGCGGTTCTCAACGCGGGCATGGCGGCGCCTTCTTACCAGCTGTCTCCCGATGGGTTTGAGATGTCCCTGGAAGTCAACGCTCTATCGACCGCTCTCCTGGCGATTCTGTTGTATCCCGAGCTCCGAAAATCGGCGGAGATGTCTGGCGAACCATCACATCTCGAGTTTGTTGGCAGTGTTGGCCATCGTATGGTCAATCCTGACGCACTCGATGCAGGCCTTCAGGATGGATCGAGCGTGCTGGATATCGTTAACAACAAGAAATTCTTCGACGTCGAACAGCAATACTGCACTACCAAGCTGTTGCTGATGTATGTCATGGATGGACTTGTCGCAGCAGCCGCACGAGCAGCAGCGTCTTCCTCGTCAACAGGTCCCAAGGATCCGGAAGTCATCATCACGACTTGCTGCCCGAATCTGTGCCGCACGAACCTCGGTCGCGACTTCTCCCTCCTGCTCAAGCTGCCGACTTACTTGTTTCAGCTCGTCTTCGCCCGCTCAGCGGAGGAAGGGAGCAGGATTCTCGTCAGCGGGACAGCCTTGGGGAAGGAGGCGCATGGAGAGTTCTGGAGTCACGATGTCTTTGACAAGTAAGTTTAACATCTTTACCTGCCTCCACCACTGCACCTGAGGGAGAGTCCGTTCTGACTCTAGCCACATAGGAAGGGCGAGCTCGTTACGAGTCCGAAGGGCAAGATGTTGCAGAAGAAAGCCTGGAGCGAAATGGTCGAGGTTCTGAGGATGCATGTTCCGCGCAGAGAAGAGTACCTCCTACAGTGTTGATTCTCAGCATAAAGGACACCTGCCTAAGGCTAAAAGAAACGTCAAAACTCCTCAAAATAGCAAGCTGTTGTCGATCGGGACATAGAATTCCGCGGCCCCATTTAACCTGGGTTATACTTCCCATCTACAGCAGCCTGTTCGATCCTCGATTGGTGCCTGCTCGGCCCTATATCGTACACACAGTTAACCTATGTGTGTTCCATTGCGCTTGATGGCGGTTGACGTTGACTTGGATCACCTAGCACATCCTGGTCTTCACTTTCAGGTGGCATTTTAGAAAAGACGCCCGTATAGAATTCCGGGTCGGGCTTTACTTTGTATAAATGGAAGTGTTCTCCTTTCCACTGGTCACTACATCGAAAAGACTCCCTCGCAGCATGTCTCATCTTGGGAATATATTGCTTGAAGATGGGCCACAAAAAAGAGACATCCGAAGGTACGGGAAGGGCGGAAACCATCCGACCGGCGATCTAGTTCCCGAGTTTCGGAGTCTCATTAGCCGGCCTGCGGAAAGCTAGTTCTCCTTCGTTCCACCTCCGTTCACGTCGACTTTGGTGATTGATTGATTGAGTGACTGATTGATGCGCTTTGCTTGTCATCTCTCCGGAGAGACTGAATAAGATGGCAGCGACTGCGAGCTTGCAGCGGCTACGTGCCTTCACAACATGCGATGTGAGTTCGGCTCGGAGCTTGGGAAGGGGGGTCTTTGACCGCTAAAACGGCTCATTTCAGATCGGCGACGCACTGGTCAAGCTGAAATACCCATTCGGGGGCTTTCTGGACGGGATCAGGATGTATTCGCCAGACGCTGCAGCTGCAACAACGACAACCTTTGGCCCGGCAGTGACGGTGAAGATGGTCGAGATGAGCGATCGCCAGGCCCCCAGCCCTCCAAGGCACTTTGCTGACTGCAACGAGCCGGGCAAGATCATGTACATCCAGCAGCCAAAGGGGCTCTACTCAGCCTGCTGGGGCGGACTGATGTCGACGCGGGCCAAGCACATGGGCGCCGAAGGTGTGATTATCGACGGCCGAATGCGCGATGTTAGAGAACACCGCGAGATGGGGTTCCCGGTAAGAACGACCACCCCCTTCTCAAATGAAAAAGAACCCTGTTGATTCGCCGCTGCTGTGAGCTAACTAACACACAACCTCCAAGGTCTTCGCCCGAGACACGTCCATACTGGGTTCCAACACCTTTACAAGAGCGTCTGAAGTCAACATCCCTTTGCAGTTTCGGGGGGACTTGTGGATTCATCCTGGCGACATCCTCGCGGGCGACTGTGACGGAGTCGTCGTTGTGCCTCCTTCGTTGATCGACCAAGTCGTCGGCCTGTGCCAGGAACGGGCGGAGATTGACGAGAAGACCTTTGCGGCCCTTCGAGCGGGAGAGGAAATGGGCCCAACCATCAAACGGCTTAGAAAAGAGTGAGAGATACCCAACGTCGTCGTTGTAGATTTTAGCCGTTATCGAACCAGCTTACTTCGGTTTTTTGGAGGCTCGGGGTCTTGTCATTCGAAGTCCGTGAACAGCATCTGGACTCTGTAGCCGTTGACAAAGTACGGTGTAAATGCTTTGCGGGATGTCCGCAATATCCTCCACCGGTATCCGCCTCTGACTTGCCCTGTCTTCCTCCATCTTTATCTAGGAAAGGAAGCAAGTGTCATGTTCTCAGCACCAAGGGAAGCCGAACACAAGACAGCGATCAGCGAATACCCAGGATTGAGTACATCTACAGTTCCGTCTTCCCACCCCTCCAACTCGCATGACCCGTTGGGTCCCTCGCAATGCTCTCCCACTCTCTGGCTTTCTCCATTCCTACACCATCAAACCCATACTTTAACCAAGTTGCCTCGACAGCCAACTTGGCATACTTCTTGGCCCCTCTCGCACTTCCTACCCTGTTATATGCGAGTGCGGCGTATCCGTACGCCGAGTCTAGAAAACCATCCAGTCCCTCGGCCTTGTACAGTTTGACAAGCATTTCGGCTTTGGTGACGCTAGCGGTCGAGTTAGGTTGAGAGAGCTCCCATTGTAGTGTGACGATATCTTGGGTGGCTCTGTCGGAGTCTCCTATAGTGCGTTTTTTGTTGTAGGAGCTAGGTGAGCAGCGTTGACAAGTACATGTAAATTGGAATATAGATTGGAAGTATTGCTGTCGATCGGCGTGTAGACGAAGAGGTGGCGCATAAGAGATAGTGATTTCCTCGTCCTTTTTGATGGGGCGTACGGCATGAATGTATTGTGTTAATAAGTCGGTGGAGAGGAAGTATTGAGCGCTATAAAGGTCAGTTCTAGGTGAACATAGCAGATTTGAAGAGAAAAAAGAACGGAGAGGATAGCGAAGAGGACATACTTTGGCGCGCAGGCATGATTAATTCTCGAGGCCTCTGGGAATACAGCCGGATGCATTAAGCCGCCAATCTTCATGTTAAATGCATTCGCTTTTAGCACATCCTGAACCACGACGTCTGGCTCATTGTAAATCTTGGCCAAGGCGAGATACGCATCTCGACTCGCTGATGGGAGCTGATCAACAGCATGCCTGAGCAATTTCTCCCGATCATCTGCGAAGGCGAGGTCGTCTATGTATGCAAGAAGATAAGGCGTATAAGCCGTAATCAGATCACCACGTCCGAGAGGCCGAGAGGCAAACATGCCCATACCCTTGCCGGGAACGGAAGCAACGTACCACGGCCGATCTTTCGTATCTGTACCAAGGTTGATGCCCTTTGAGGACAGCGCCGTAGGATCTTGAAACGGTGGTAGAGATGCAAACTCCTGTGCGATTCCAGGTCTGGTGAAGATAGAGATCCCTCTCCCGTTACTGAAAGACGCATTTGTGTAAACGCAGAATTGATCTTTCTCATCGAGATGCTCCGTGCAGATTGGCTTGTGCGTCCAAGGGAAATATGAGCTCAAGCTCTCCTTTTCCCCGGAAGTAGCCGGCTTGATCCGGTCGTCGTGCTCATGGTCGACGACTATCTCGCTTGATGTTGTTGACGATTCGTCCTGCGAAGGAGGCGCGGCCTGCTCGCTTGAAGCAACAAGAGAAACAAACAGACAGAGAACACCTAACGAGATTACGTTAAGCTTCATCTTAGCCAGATATCGAGACAATGTCACTCAAAAGAATCAAGGTGCGGCAAGGAGGACGGCAGCAACGACCAAAAGTGATGCGAGATACCTCGTGGTTGAGTCTGTTCGAAATCCTGAAACACTCAGGCACCGATCTGAGTGTTTCACATTCGACATCCCCCTGTCTCGTGTTCCAAGGGGCCACATAAGAATGCTGACTTTACAACATGCCATCGTCAAGACTTTCTTCATGTGCAAAGCCAACTTTGCACGTATATATGTATATCCTTGCCTCGGATACAGGATATAGCGAGGCCGAAAGAAGTTTGAAGTTACACAGCCTTGTCTTGGCAAGATCACTCACGTGCCAACGCTGGACGGCTATATCTTTCATCACTTTGCCGAGGCAAGTCGATGCTTTGCCAATCGAGTATTACCCGGTGAGAATGCCAATAACTAATCATAATCCGTACAGTTACAAAGGTGACCAAGTAAGTTACTTATATAGCTGGGAGGGACCCAGAACATCCTCGAGCTACGATAAGGGAGATCCGTCTCGTCTCGTCTCTTTTTATCCTCTCTCTGGAGATCCGGGCTGCCTCTATATATCTTGCGAACTTTAGGGGAGGCTCCATTTCTCTGTAATTTCAAATACTTCTGGAACCTACTTACTACGGACGTGGCGGCGTGAAGAAAGAGACGGAAAGGCACACGGAGCGGCCCTGCGGGAGAAAGCTGCGAAGAGACACAAAAGGAAGAAGAAACTCAACTCAAGATGGCGACCGAGGACAAGCCACTTGCTTTGGTGGCCCTGGTCCATCCAAAGACAGCCGAGAACCGGGATAAGGTAGGTTTGGCGTTCTTCTCTTTTTACCCTCTTCCACGTTGTCTTTTTGGTTTGGGCGTATCGCGAGTTCTCTTCTTTAGGGCTTTCGAGTTCGATCGAGCTCTGACTCGGACTTGATTCATGTCTTCTTTGTGAGGTTGCTCGGGGAGGAAGAGTGAGAAAGAGATGTGATTGATCTGGCCAGGAGCTGGGGGCCCTGCACGGAGGACCTTCATATGCCAAGGGGAAGAGGAGGGCGAGATAATACCCCATCCTCACTCTCATTCTAACGCACCTTAACTGACATTCCCTCCCTCCAGGCCCTCCAACTCAACGCCTCCGTGACGCCCTTCTTCCGGCGTCCCAGCACACAGTGCACAACACGCAGCATCTTCACGCCGGCGACGCGCCCGAAAGCGAATCTGGGGATGGTGCCGGCAGCAGAGAAGGACAGCATGTTCGGGGTGGTCGAGATCTGGTCGTCGCCGGCCGCGCTGGCCACGCTAAAGACCACGGCTCCACCCGAGTACAAGCAGTACCACTCGACCGTGGCGCGGGAGGGGCTGTACAGCGTCGAAAGGGACATGGATATTTCCGAGTGGACGCCCTGTGCAGGGTTCGTGGCGCGCAAGGGCGAGAAGGAGACGCCCAAGGCCGGCATCGTCATGCTGGCCAAGTTCGTCTGCAAGGACGGCGAAGGCATGAAGGACGGCTTGGTCAGTGTTATTGGGTATGTCCCCATCAAAGCGCGCAATTTCGCCGTAAATCACTGCCCCCTTCCTCCTCCTGCGTTTATTTACGCCTCTACCTCCATTTCCTCTCCTTCTCACCCTCACCCTCTCGGATGAGGTCATCCTCGATCCGACCGACACTATTCAACTAACACGACCCACCTCCCCGCCAGGAAATTCTGCGACTGGGTCGAAGCCAACGAATTCGGGACCTTGACGTACAGCGTGATGGCCAGCACCACGTCGCCCAACGAGGTCCTCCTGTTCGAGCGGTACAAGGACCTCGCGGCGCTGGGCGTGCACGGCAAGACGGCCGAGTTTAGAGCCATGTTGTAAGTACACGCCCCATCCGCTTGCAGTACTC